ACCATGGATTCGGGTTAGCGTGGTCGCTAGAGCGCCTCATTGTCATGGGAAAGTCCTGCGACAACCTGTTGAGATGTATTCCAGCCACTGGAGGCTTTAAGTGAAGATATTTTTTTTGCATCTCAAACATGTAGTTATGTGTGGGCTTATGAAAGATGGCAGAGAGGGGAGCATCCATTTTTCCTGGCCATAGTACAGGTATTTGACTGACATCTGACAGTTGAGCAGAAAAAGGTTTCAGCACTTTCCGTGGACAAGCCCACAGTGCCTGCAGGAGCTGCAATATAGCGAGTTTACGAGACATTTACAAAACAATTTTTGCAAGCACCACATTTCGTTTCTAAAGAAAAAAAAGTATAAAATATTGGTTGAATTGTGTTCCACTTGATGTTGATTATTCACGGAAACAAAAAAAATCCAATTTGATATCTCTTTATGTTTGAAGCCGAAAATGTGGCAAAAGGTCAAAAAGGGGGCTGAATACTTTTGCAGGCCACTTTGCATGACATTTTCAAGTAACCCTACAAATAATACTAGCAGACAGTAAACACACGACTACAATTGTGGACTGTCACTGACAGGCAGGTATTAAATAGAACCCAAATGAGAGCATATTCAATATGCTCTTATTTGGGTTGTAGTACACAAACAGTCAGTGAAGAGCTGCACTGCAACATGAGTCACTATTTTGGTTACCTCAATGAGTTACATGATAGGAAATAAAATATTAGCCACAGTTGTTATTATGATGGAATCCAGTTCTACACCACGGTCATTGAATATAGCGGTGTATCAAGTGGTGTATCGCTGTTGTGACAGGCCAGTCACTGTCCTAAACGTGTTGGTTAGGAACCTGTAAAAAGCCAGCAAATCACATCATGGCTTGCTGATGCATAGCAACAGTTGTATGATGTTGGAGAGACTACCTTCACTTGAGGCAGGGAAGCCTCAAGTCTCTTAACAGTTGCCTGGATGCAGCTAATTAGTCGTATTTGCTCAGAGGGTGTAAAGTTTGATGAGTTCCCGTGCAAACACCAGCACGGTGATAGCCTGTTCAAGAGACAGCACACAAACTTTGTTTTGGAGAAACAAATACACAGTAAGTTGAGGAAAAATAAACCATGCACTCCAACAGTAGAGGGAAAAAGGTCAGCCTACTGCAAATGCGTACAATTCCATCTCTGCACATGGATTAAAACACACTGTATTAAGATGATACAAAAATGACATTAAAACATGTCACATTAGCGTTATATGTTGAGGGCATGCAACATAGCAGTTAGCTATCCAGTCAAGCCAAATTAGAAATCATTCACTCCCAAATTGGAATTAACTTGTGTTGTGACAAGGCACCCCAATTAAAGAAGTGTGTTTATAAAGTCAAGCAAGCATAGACTGGAAGCCGGTTTTTGCTGTGTCAATCAAATGTGACGGCCGCTTGTGAAAGTTGGACGAACACAACTATAGTACTCACATGGTTAAGTCACACTGCCTGTCAGCTGAGGAACAACTGAGCAGACACACAAAGGAGAAGCTGCACGCGGATGTTGATCACTCTTTAGTTCTGATAGATTTTTTGCATCATTTTACAAAGGGCAGTGAGGTGTGGTATCGTGGCTAGCATGCCTCCTTCAAAAGGCAGCTAGGGCCTTCCTGTGAAGAGCTTCTTCCATTTCATTTTACATCGGTATTGCAAACGTGTGTGTGTGTGTGTGTGTGTGTGATGCTTGTGAGTCCAGGCGCCTTGTGATTGGCTTGAAACCAGTTCATGGACACATCCACGGTGTATTGCCCAAAGCCAGCTGGGAAAGGATGACAGATCACTCGCAATCCTGATGGGGGACAACTGCTAGTGAAAATTCATGTCTCCATACAGCAAGTAGAACATATTTGTGTAAATGCTGAGAAGGCCAATGTTGTGTGAGCCCGCAATTGGTACAGCTAGCCGACTTCACATTGAGCAGTCACTTTGAATTATTGAAACTCCTCCTACGGGGGAAAAATGAAAGACAAACACATTCATTGCAAGTCGGCTCTGGACAAAAGGTTGCAACATTCCCACTGGCATGCAAGTCATGGGATGTAGATCACATGAATGTTTTTTTTGCTCTTAATATTAGAAAGTGACCATTGGCCTCGTTGTATAAAGTTGCCATCACCATCACACTTGTTTGAAAAAGGTCTGGTTTCTCAGGCTGATATATGTTACTGTCAGAGGCTGCGATTAGTCTTTCATGTCTCTAAAAAATGCCTCACTGGATCAGGTGGAAATTGCATGAGAAAAACACCTCGTGGAAAACCTCTCAGAGATGGTGGAACCAGCGCTCTTAAATGTAGCCCATTGGTGGTAGCTCAAGAAAACCATTGCCCTGTTTTTTTTTTGTTTTTAAATCGATACTTACCACCACATCTAGAGTTTAAGTATCTTCAATGACAAATACTCATCAGTCACGTATAAAAAGTGGAGCAAAACACTTAATACCGTAAAGACTCATGAAAGACGAATGCTGGTAAGATTCAATATTCAAATTGTTATGGTACTTACCTGGCTTTTTGGAGCCATTCAGCGATTTAAGTGTCAAAGTGCATTTTGTCAAATTCTGAGGGAAAAATGTGCTACCAAATGTCTTATTTTTAATGTCGGAGAGCTTGGTTTAATGCACTGGTCATAGGCTGCATCAGACTACTTTGAATCCGGATTTAAATTCTTAAACGCATCTGTGGAACGAGGTAAAAGTCTGGCGGAAATCAACAGTGATTGCCTCGAAAGAATCGCCAAAAAATGTTTAGGCTACAGCCAATTTTCACCCTTCAAATAAATTTGTTGAATCATAAAAACAGCAATGCCTAATTTCCAAAACATCATTGTCAGTGTGCCCCCCGCCTTATTTCCATTGCTGGTCTTTAACAGAAACACCGTTTTGTTCGGGTGTGTGTGTACGTACTGTATGTAGTTCACACTCCAACACATTTTCAATGTACCACTGCAAGTACTGTACTACCAAAATATAGTACAAACACGTGCAAATGTTTTTACACCCAAACCTTTAATCAACATAGAAAGAAAAGTTTGAACAATTAATCCAAATTGAGAGACTCAACACGAGTCCAGGAAACTCCATAGGAAAAGTCCATCAAGTTGCAGGCGCTAACACAGTCCAACCACCGAGGGCGTGCTGATTGGTCTCAAGAGTCCCACAACAGGGACTCCTGCTGCATTCTCCATCCACCCGTCCTCCAGGAAATCGGCAACCCAAATGTGCACACAGCATTCCACGGGACAGTTTACTTGGACCTCTGCCTCATCTTTCTCCTTTTGCGCTTCAGTCTATTAGGTAATATCAAGGATTAATTATGGGGCGACCTGAGGAAAACTGGTGACGAACCATACTTGACTACAATTGCTCACCTGCGCATGCGCTTCTTTCTCCACTGTGCAAGAAGAAAACATTTGTGAATGTAAAAGTTGGCCATATATTACAGTCCATAGGGATTCCTATTAAATCGCAATGAAATAGAACAATAACCGGTTTCGATTTCTTTAAAGACCTCGCGATATATTCCGTTGTACACTGATTTTGATAACTAGCTAGCTAATAAGCGTTAGCGCCACAGCGAAAGTAGTTTTATTATAGAGGTGGAGAAAAAAAACGCATACCTTGGCTCGCATAGCGAATGGGTCCGGCTGAAAAGAGTCGGATACAGGTGAATGATTAGTTAAATGATATTCAGAGTAAACGGATGACCTCGGATTCTGGCGGTAACATTTGACAGTACATACCAACCACGGAAAGGCTGTCTCGGGACTGACGTCATAAACACGCGTCATGAAGAAGCGAACGTCAGTGAGGAGAGGTGCAACCTGGGAAAATTAGTCCATTTCTCATAACGTCTGTTTTATTAATTATATTATAACGAAACAGAGACGAATATTGTACACGGATTGCAATGTGTATGACATGAACTGATGTTTTTTTCGACAAATCAAAAACGGTCTATTGTAATTTATTCATCAATTTAGCGCTATTAATTACAGTATACAGTAATATAAATGTTAGGTTTGGGTTGTAATGCATGGTGGTGATCTCATAAAAACATATTTAAAGTGCTACATTAAAATTTGCATAACAATGAAAAAAAAACGATTCAAAAACAAATCCAGATCAGATCCAGATTAAGAATTTAACTGCAGTGTAAATTACAATCTGACTCTTTCGTGTGCAGCAGTTTAAATTGTCCCCCAATGCATCCACAAAAAAAAAAATGTAACCATTAAGACTGTAACAATCAGAGGTGGGGGGCTCCAGTCACACGACTTCGACTCCAGTTGATTTAAATTGCTAGTTTTATGACTTGCCACCCATCCACCCATCCATTCATCCATCCATCCATCCATCAATTTTCTAATCCGCTTATCCTCACAAGGGTTGTGGGCGTGCTGGAGCCTACCCCAGCTGTCTTCGGGCAGTAGGCGGGATACACCCTGAACTGGTTGCCAGCCAATCGCAGGGCATACAGACAAACAACCATTGATGCTCACAACCATTCACGCTCACAACCACACCTTGGGATAATTTAGAGTGTTCAATTAACCTGCCATGCATGTTTATGGGGAGGAAACCGGAGTACTCGAAAAAAAAGCAACATGCAAATTCCACTCAGGAGGGCCAGAGCCACAATCAAACCCTGAACCTCTGCACTGGGAGGTGGACGTGCTTTCCAGTTGACTACCATGCCGCCCAATCTTGCTACCTGCTTGGCAAAATCTTCTGAAAACCCAACTTAAATTGCCATCCACGAAACTTGACTAACTCCAACTTAATTCCATGACTTGATAGGTCATTGTTTACATTTCAAAAACCAATCCATATTTTGATATATTGTTTTTGAAAGAAATGTTAATGTAGTTACTTCTCACACCTTATTAGACTGAAAGCAACCAGCAGTGAGAAACAATTGGGTTTGTGAAGGCAACCCCCCCTTTTCTCTCTTTTTTTTTTAAACTTTTTTTTGTGCCATGCATGCCACAAATCTGGTGGATGGACACAGACAACGGCTGAGGACTGACTTGTTGAGCAAGTGTCATCAAAAATGAATACTGTACATCTGGATTCACGGATTATCATTTCTAGGAACCCGGCAAAAAGACACAAACAGTATGCAAGATTTGAGACTCAAAGTTAACAACATCTCCGACATTCACTTTGACTATTGTATGTTTACCTGTGTTGAGTTTTGGCTGGACACTGTTGTCACTGCATGTTTTACACCAGGATCACTGAATGGAGTAATGAGAGTCTCACAAAGACTGCATCGACCATTCAGGCTGTATTATCCCAGTAGCGTAAATTGTGATTTAGAGTGGTTAGGTTTTGATGTTAAGTTTTTGTCGGGAAAATCAAGAATCCAAGTCATGCTGCTGCCTTGAGTTGTGTCTTGGTCATGAGTTAGCAATCAGTTCACTCGATTAAGGAGAGGGCGAATGACTACAGAAAGGTTGTAGCAGGAATCTGGGTACTATTGTCTGAAACCTTTCCCTTATTCTTCAGCTCTTTCAAAATAGTTGTTAAGCTCTCCACCTTCTTCCTCAAACGTCGCGTTTTCTGATGAGAAACCTTGAGTTTTTTTCGCAGGCTTTTGATTGTTTCCCCCGCGGTGTCAAGCTTCTGCTTGACCTTTCGTGGGTTGGGGTCAAGGCAGTAGTTGTGATCTGCTCCACATGGGTTTATTGGGGACTCTGATGCAACTGTGGAGGCTGGTTGAGATGATTCGTGTCTGTCGGTCGCTGGTTTCCGTTCCTTCAGTTTCTGTTCGAAAAAAGTGACAAATTATATGCAGACTGAAATTTCATGTGAATTTCTATGAGAAAACGAATGCTTCTCAAAAGTCTCAGGTGAATTCAATAAGCCTGGAAAAAAGGGCTTTGTGGGACTTCTGTTGATGAACCTTTTAATGCATTCAAGGGCATGTTGAATTTGTGTCAAAATGCCATTTGCGTGACCCAAAGGGCTCTGCAAAATTCTAAATTCAATTCAGTGGATGGATTTAAATTTGAATAGACTCCACCATAAAGGCTGTTGAATTGAATTAGAATTCCAGGAAGTGGAATTGAATGCGGTGCAATTCAGAGAAACTGTGGGAATTAGACTTTTAACATAGATTTCTCTTTCAAACGCAAGTGCATTAAGTAGAACTATTCTTAATGTTGGAAAGTTGTGCAATATATTTGAAGTCATAAATTGAAACAATGCTTATGTCGTAATCCTTCACTAAAGTACTTTCCAGGTTGAAGTTGTTGCATGTTGCTTGTTGTTTTGGAATTGAGGCAGCATCGTCATGGTCAGAATATCTTGCCCGCAACACGAAATATTTTCTCTACGGGTGCAGAGGAAGTTGGTATGGCCAGATAATTGAGATGCAAGTACAACTAGGTTTGGGAAATGGAAAAGTTCTCGAATGATTTTCAGTTCATAAACTGATCGATGAATTGAGCAGTGGAGCTCAGAAAGAATATCATGGGGAGCTTTAAAGGACAAGTCAACCCCAACATTTTCTTTAAAATAATCTGTTTTGTGCTGCCCCACTAGTCTAAACATGGCATTGTGATTGATCTTAAGTTTGTGGAATATGAATTAAGCAGTAAAATCACCTGTTTTTGTCCATCTCAGGGAGCACACATTTTGCCACTTGCTGAAAACGACATCATAGTTGCTCATGTCATGACCAATCACAGATCCGCTTGCGAATGTCACATGACCAAACTCAGAAAACAAAAGCTATGTTGTTCAATACAAGTGTGATTGTGAAGAGTGATTGTGAGTGCGAATGTTTGTTTGTCTGCCCTGCGAGTGGCTGGAAACTAGTTGAGGGTGTAGCCGCCAACTGCCCAAAGTCTGCTTGGGATAGGCGACCCTTGTGACGATAAAACGGTTCAGGTAATGGATGGAATTTTGAATTTCAATTCTACTTTCTGCAATTTGAATTCCAATTGTCATTCTGCTTCCTGGTTGCCACTTCAATGCAAATTTAAATTTAAGAGTTGAATTGAAATTTAGAGGTCACTCTGAATTTCCACAGTGGGTTGCCTGGGTTGCCGAAATAAGGCTATTAAACACATGCCGACTAAAGAGTCCGTTTTTAAAATGGCTTATTTTTATTCATCTAATTTATGACCCAGTAGAATGTACAGTCTTGAATCGACCGAAAATGGCAAAACTGAATAATACAGTATGGTTGAAGTTGTTGCATGTTGCTTGTTGTTTTGGAATTGAGGCAGCATCGTCATGGTCAGAATATCTTGCCCGCAACACGAAATATTTTCTCTACGGGTGCAGAGGAAGTTGGTATGGCCAGATAATTGAGATGCAAGTACAACTAGGTTTGGGAAATGGAAAAGTTCTCGAATGATTTTCAGTTCATAAACTGATCGATGAATTGAGCAGTGGAGCTCAGAAAGAATATCATGGGGAGCTTTAAAGGACAAGTCAACCCCAACATTTTCTTTAAAATAATCTGTTTTGTGCTGCCCCACTAGTCTAAACATGGCATTGTGATTGATCTTAAGTTTGTGGAATATGAATTAAGCAGTAAAATCACCTGTTTTTGTCCATCTCAGGGAGCACACATTTTGCCACTTGCTGAAAACGACATCATAGTTGCTCATGTCATGACCAATCACAGATCCGCTTGCGAATGTCACATGACCAAACTCAGAAAACAAAAGCTATGTTGTTCAATACAAGTGTGATTGTGAAGAGTGATTGTGAGTGCGAATGTTTGTTTGTCTGCCCTGCGAGTGGCTGGAAACTAGTTGAGGGTGTAGCCGCCAACTGCCCAAAGTCTGCTTGGGATAGGCGACCCTTGTGACGATAAAACGGTTCAGGTAATGGATGGAATTTTGAATTTCAATTCTACTTTCTGCAATTTGAATTCCAATTGTCATTCTGCTTCCTGGTTGCCACTTCAATGCAAATTTAAATTTAAGAGTTGAATTGAAATTTAGAGGTCACTCTGAATTTCCACAGTGGGTTGCCTGGGTTGCCGAAATAAGGCTATTAAACACATGCCGACTAAAGAGTCCGTTTTTAAAATGGCTTATTTTTATTCATCTAATTTATGACCCAGTAGAATGTACAGTCTTGAATCGACCGAAAATGGCAAAACTGAATAATACAGTATTATTTTTCTTGGAGAAACAGACTTCCTTTGCAAACAACACTATCATTCCTGCTTGCAAAATGACCCCAATGGGCACACAAGATTTTTTTTACTGGTAAGTACTGGATAAATTGTGTACACTGACCTTTTGGAGACATGGAGGAAATTTAAAGACGCTAGGTATGACGCCTTGCTTGAGTCGAGTCGTCTGGCCACTTCGGTCAAAGTCGACCTCCAGGAAATGGTCACTACAGATTAATGTGACACCGGGAGTGGCTGTGAAATTCTTCCTCCTCAGCGCCTGGACCCATTCTCTGCACAGGGTTTCATCTTTAGGGAATCTGTTCAGAAAAACTCTAAACTTTAGACGGACCCTTAAACAGACCATGTAGACATGCAAACTTGAAATAGTGCATCATCCCCACCCAGTGCTCTTTCAATGATTACTGCTTTGGCTTACTTACTTCCTTTAACTATACAAAAACCCCTTTATCAAGTATCAAGTACAACTTTACTGTCAAACAGATACTTTTCTAACATCATGGTCGATCTTTTCACCAATGATTTTCATCACTACTTACGATACTGAAATGATTATTTAACAAATGTCAGTGATTATTACGTATAATTATTTATAGATACAATATTCAAAGTAACTTTAAATCTCCTAGTGTTTCATTTGATTGTATGGGTGAGTTTCTACTTCTGTTTCGATTATTTCCCTGTTTCTCATTTTCTCTTGTATTTGTTCCCAAGTTATTCCTTTGACATTGAGATATTTTATAAAGGATTTCTTATCTTATTATTTTAAAACCAATGATGCATTACAGTATTTGGAGACTTGTGAAAGTTTGACTAAGGATGTATCCCAAGATGCAATTCGGGTGGGTGGTTAAACACACAGACGTTTCCACCTATGGATGTTCAAAAAAAAACTTTGTGTGGCACATGCTCAATAAAATGTAAAAAGGAAAAAAACCTGACGAATCACACATACACAGGAAGAACATACTCGCACACGTTCTCAGGAATACTGTACTCGGCGTTCCTCGTCTTGAGAGCGACGGCTATTATGATGATTCCCTCCACTATTCGCACATTTTGCTCTTTCTATGCACAATCACCGTACTTATACTCACACACGTCTGTCTTCCCTCACAGTAAGATGCTATGTGATCATATCTGAATGAAACTAAAATCGAAAAAGAAGTATTCATAATCGCATTCTCACCGGTGAAATGTGCATTTAGCGCCTCTTCCCGACTTATTGTTACAATCGTACGCCACACACTGTGGCATTTTCGTTGTGGAGACAGAAAAAAAACGTGAAAACGCAGCGCAAAATTCAGTCGAAATCGTATTTTTCAGGCGCACTTTAGCGAGTGGCAACGCATGATGGCCGCCAGCGCACTTCCGGTCACATGTCTGGCTGTGTGGACACTACTTGTGGGACTACTGCCTTCTTCGGAGATTATGTTTCAATTACAACTCAAAGGACTTCAGTGATAGCTTCAGTGATCGCTGCTGTGGGTAAGCAGCATTTAAGCGCTCAAATAAAATTTGCATAAATAAGTGTCACATTGTTACATAACTTCTAAATAGGAAGTCCCAATCAGATGTCAAAACAGATCGAGATTAGTAATTTAGCAGCATTTAAATTCCAATCTAACTTCCATATGCACAACAGTTGAAAGTTTTCAAAATTGTAACGTGTGAATTTGTGCCCCATTGCATGCAGAATAGCCCAAAAATGGACCCCCACCCCTGTCCCCAAAACAACCTGATATATTCCTGTACCTATTAATACTGGAATAGCAATGCAGATGTTTATTTAAAATTAACATCAGTTATGACCAGACTTTATATTTTTAAAATGCCTGTGCTCTTGTGATGTATGCCGTTAAAAATGATGACCCCCCCCCCCACAAAGTCCAAAACAAATCATAAGACAAATGATGTCAGATGGCTTTTAATGATTCCAAAAATAGTCTCTGAAATAGTGGTTTGTTTTTACAAAAGCATCCACATCTGGACTTCTTATGTAAACACAGACTGTCAGACCTGATGGAGGCACAAGACTGAATGCAGAACCCGTAACAGGTTGGAACATGCACAGTTAAGAAAAAAATAGATTTATTCCTCATCTGTTCACTTGATCCTCCTGTTATGCTTGCGATCGATATTGCCCACCAAGTATTCTTGATGCCTTGAAGTGTATAAATAGCAGCACAATATTAGGCTTATTATTGTTGGTGTCAGAACGATAACTCAGGTGAGAGTAGCTGCATCAGGATTTAAGATTCCAACAATATTATGACCACACAAATTGAAGTTCCGTTTCTTGGACACGCTTCAGGTCATTGAGGTTAGCATTCTTCATCAACTTGGCATCTGAAACTCATTTTATTTGACGACATCTTATGTGGCAAACGGGGGATGAGGCCTGAGGTCAAATGGCTAAATATTCCTGTGACAATTTGCTCTGGATGAGTTTCGCCCACTGTTGCAGACACAAATTGTCTCTCAAGGACAGTAAGATTTACTCAGGATGTGTCAGGACAGCGTGTGGTCAAATTAAGAAATTTAAGAGCAGCCTCATCCCAGATTGACATCTGTTGGATTTCAGAGGTGTCACCTTGCCACAAGGGCCTCTGACAGCTGGGGCAGAAGCGAATATGACGTCTGTTCTTTGGTTGCGTCACAAATTCCTCAATGGGCAGATTTATTCTGCAGCTTCCGTCTCCGTCGGTTGTCCTGTCGCATTCTCCACAGTCTTTGAGGCCTTAATGAAAGGGCAGGTTAATGTACTTTAGATCAAAATAAGAGGTGCACCAATCAAATGCAACAAAATACCTAAATGGCAAAACTAACCTTCTTTTTCTTTTTCTTCTGCGTCTTACGACTGGTTGAGCTTTGAAGCAAAGTCTAATTAAAAAAAAAAAAAAAAAAAAAAAGATTAAAATGACTGATAACCTCACAAGTGTTCAGACAAGGTGCAAAAACAATTAAGGCTTTAAAAATAAATGCAAAGTCAGATGTGCAAGAGTGCATTCGTCCCACTTTATTTTCTCTGGCAGAAGATGCAGCGTCCCATTAATCAAACACTTTTCTCACCTTCAACTCTGCATCCTCCACCTCGTTCTCCGACTTGTACATTTCGGGTTCATAGAGGCTGTTTGTGATCCGCAGCGGTCCGTTGGCCATGAGCAGCACAGTGAACTTGAACTGAGCTACAAATTCACCTGCACACAAAAGACAGCTTAGCTCAACTGTGCACAGCACACTTGGGCAAGGAAGATGGCGGCTCACCCTCCTTCTCCTGGAGAACGTTGAATGGTTGCAGCAGCTCATGCTTGGTGCACTCTACCACACCCAGCCTGGCCTTGCCCTCATCCTCAAACGCCCTGAGGCAGTAAAGAAGAGCGAAAAATCAGAGGGTACATAATCAATGGGCTATAGCAGGGGTGTCAAACATACGGCCCGCGGGCCGGATCCGGCCCGCAAAGGAGTTTAATCCGGCCCGCGAGATGATTATGTAAAGCATCTGTGTCAAACATACGGCCCGTGGGCCGGAACCGGCCCGCAAGTAGGTTCAATCAGGCCCGCAGGATAATGTAAAAGTGAAAAAAATGCATTAAAGACACAGAATTAATATTTTTAATCAGGTGCAATTCATTGAGTATCCGCAAGGGGACACTGTTTTGATCAGAGAAGAAGACAACAGCAGCCTCAGTCTGTCACTGAGACAGACCCATGACAGCAGACGCTATCAATAGCACTCTCACATTTACACATTTAATAGCACGCTCCTTAGTTTGTAAGGTGTAGGCAGGGATTACATTTCGATTTTATATGCACGTGTAAATGCTTTAAAACTTGCTTTCTTTATGAATCTTGTTTAATCTTAAAGTGCATTACTATATTTTTCAATACCAATTACTTGTTAAAGTTTGTACAATCAGTGGGATCAGTTGCAATGCATATATGTGAATGATAAAAGTAAATTGCACATTTGTCGAAGGAAATGTAAGGTGCTTCATGAAATGTTTTGTAAAAGATATGTTCATTAAATTTCAACATTTTCCTAATGTTCTTGTGCTTCTTTATACCAAAACAAAGGAAAGACATATTGTTTTGGTTATTTATAGCAAAGTATTGTATCATTTTAATGGTCCGGCCCACTTGACATCTACCGAGTCCGTATGTGGCCCACAATGTGAAATGAGTTTGACACCCCTGGGCTATAGGATACAGACGGGCGGACATGCAGCAAAAAAAAAAAAAAAAGAAAAAAGTTTTAAAAACACGTTTTAAGACAAGTTTGAATAAAACGGACAGTGAGGGGGCTTGTTTAACATTTAATGGTGGGTCTTTCCAGAGGGAGGGACGGGCAACGGAAAATATTCGATCCCCTCTGAGCTTCTGTGCTCCACTAACCTGAGGCACTGGGCGGTGCGTCAGGAGGAGCCCAAAGCTCAAAGAGGCAAGATGGGTGAGGCCAGGCCAATTTAAGATTTGAAAACAAATAAAAGTATCTTAAAATGAACAGACAATGTACCATGACAGACATTGTTTATCACCTGTCAAATCGAGAATGACGCGGTTCTTTTTCGTTTGGGTCTGCATGACTGTATTATGCTGCCACCTGGTGGCCCACTCGCGCTTCCCAGAAGGAGCTACAATGACGCACAATCTGTTAAAATCTCGACATGATTTTTTTTATTACGATGTCTATATAAAGTCCAATATTCTTGTCACCACAGTGCGTGCGTGATCCAGTTCCATCTATGCTTTTCTTCTGCATTCTCCTCTCTGACTCAAACTGTCCTCTATCAACCTTCAACTTGGTCTTCCTCTGGCTCTTGTCTGCCAGGCGCCATCTTCATCATCCTCCTACCACGCTCACTATCCCTCCTCCGGATGTCTCTAAAGCATTGGAGCCTGCTCTAACTTTGTCCTCAAAACATCAAACTTGGCCATTAAAGTACAATAACAGAGTAATATTACATTTTTGTTGCTGCTGCTGTTGGGTTTTTAGGTAGACTGGAACGGATTAGAAGCATTTCCATTAATTTCAGTGGCTAAAGATGATTTGAAATGCAATTGTTTTAAGTTACAAGCATTTTCCAGGAACAAATTAATATCTCAAGGCACCTCTGTATAAATCATGCCCCAACCTAAAAAAATATATATATATACCATACAAAACTGGAGATGAAAACCATTACTACAGATCAGTGGTTCTTAACCTTCTTAGAGGTACTGAACCCAACCAGTTAATATCCACATTCACCGAAACCTTCATTAGTAAAAAATAAATACATATTTTTACAAATTCAAGATATTTTAAAAACACATTTATTAAAAACAGAAAAAAAGTAAATAGCATTTCAAGAGATAAGTATACTTTTTTTTTTTTACTCTTTGTTACTGAAGAATTGTGCCCTACCTTCTTTGCCAGATCACCCTTGAGTCTTTGTCTCTATGTGTATTTATTTCCTAGTTAAATAAAGGTTTTGATTAATTGATTTAAAACAGCACGTACGGGTAACATGTTTTAAAATGGTTATGAATTCAGTCAGGAATACATTTGATGGAAATTGACCCCTGTAGTTAAATTGATGTTGAAAGAAGTCAAACAGTCACACCATGGGCAACTGTGTCCACCTTATTGGACAAAAAATGTAAATAAAAATACCTCAGAGTGAAAGCCATTTTATCGAACCGCCTTTCCATTTCACTGAAGAACGTGCGAGAGGTTTTCATCTTTAATCCGTACACCTTGTCGGGGTCTCGTTTGTAAACGGTGGTCCTCAGGCCACCATCTTTTGCCTGATTTGCAACACAAAGCATTTTATTGTTTTGTTTTATTCACACACATAATGTTGCCTTAAAAACTGCTGGTTAAAAAAAAACAAACAAACCCTGAGAAACACTTCAACATTTTGGTTGTCTCACCTTCCCCTCTCCAGTGCTGATGAGCACATCCACTGCATACACTTCATGCACCTCAAACTCAGCCTTTTCATGGTCCTTCCTACAAGTACACACAAAGTCATCCACTGGTGGAACGCGTGTAGGGGAGCGGCAGGGGGGCCACGCTCACACCTGTTTTCACAAAGCAGAGAGGTTCAGTCCATTGTCAAAATTTGGGTTTGGCATCAAAATGACTTACAACAATACACTATGAGCATGAAAAGAGCTGTTCTCTTTTTGCACAAAACACCAAAAATGTACCAAACTGTAGCCCAAAAACCCAAGCAGACGTGCCTTCTCACCCCAACTATTTGTGTAGTATGGAGATATACTGTATTCACAGCAAAACAACAAGTAAATCATGGTCCAAACCATACTCTGGCGAGTATTGCTTGGTGGAAACACGGCATAACTTCATGTTCAGTGAACGCACCTTTGCTGGTCCGTTGGGTTCTGTATGATCGTTTTCTCTCCATCTATGACGTGTTGTTTCAACTGATGGGACAGCAGGCCTATGAACAACAATGTCAAATTAGGTGCACCAAATGCACGTACACTTCAGAGCGCAGACAAGTCACTCACCTTCGATTGGCGAGCACTTGAATGACTTTGCAATCTTGTTCCATGCCTCTGTGACCTGTGTGTTCTGAGAGGGAGGCATGAGAGTGATTAGACCAAAGCGGAAGCCACATGACCGTCGAGCATATCAGATGTGCTGGTATAACAATGTCACCTGGTTTCCGGGCTTGACAAGGCGCAGTGCAGCCTCAGCGCACAGATGAGCTGCCATCATCACGTCAGCCTTGCGGCCTGTGAGGGGCTTTTCCTGCAGAGACACAGTAAAGAGTGAACGTATGCAAATTAAACAGTGTAAGTGGAAGCAAATGAACTTTTTTCTTTTTTTTTTTTTAATTTTTTTTACCTTGGTCACACCAACAACAAAGCTGTGGGCCACGTTGGAGATAAAGCCATCCACGTGCACGCCAAGATCACTAAACAGGTATACAAAACAGGAAAGCATGAGCAAAATCTTATTTTGAATTCTAACATCCCTGAAGCACGTTGTTTCGACCCTTCAGCAGCTTACACTTTGACGAGATCCCCGTCCTTAAGTACAACATCGGGGTCACTCTTAAGCGGAGAGTGATGGCACACGCAGTTATTAACCGACACACATGTCGGAAAGGCGATACCTGGGAGACAGGGTGAAATGTTTGAATTTGATGACAACTCAATACAAGTACATCCCGAAAAGCAGAAAAGCCTACCTTTCTTCATCTCTTTCTCCTTCTTGAAGATTTTCCCACTTTCTTTCATGATGAAGTCATCTCCCTTTTCACACAGGCTGAGCACCGACACGCCAGCCAGAGCTGCCTCAACCACCATCTTCAGGGCCTCTGCAAGATTGACAAAAAGGCTTGACAATTAATTGGATTGGCTCATTGGACAGTAGAAAACAGTTAAATGTGAACAAACCCATTTTGATATTTGAATGGTGTCTCAGTGCTTTGGGATATGCCCTCCTACGCTCAACACGGTTATTATTATGACAGACAACTGTGCTCTTATGGAATAAAGATTCTAATTCTAAAACATTTCAAAAAGACTGGCAATTCTCTGCGATTATAGATATTCTTCTCTGAATTCCTGTGTCATTATAACCAAAACATGATTTACTATTCATAACATCGTGTTCATAACAGCATATCCCTTTTCAGATAAGAGTTGATGAAACTGTAATGGGATAACTACACTATAATAAGTTGTAATTGTACCTGTGCATTTGGAATGCAAATCCAGCAGACGTCTGTTTAGATGCATTGTGGTTGTCTATTCAATTTAAGGGCTAAGCATAGTATTAAAACAGACGGCGACTTAACGGCAACTCCATTAACACATCTATTCCAATTAAAGGCATCGTGTCTGAGCTACACACATTTAATGAGAGCGTATCCTATCAGGTTTATCTTTTTCTCCTGAGTTTGTGCAATGTAGGACCTGATTTGACCCAGTTTAAACACACCAATTAGCCCAAATGAATGGTCATTGCCTCTTCACTCATCACCAGAGTCTTATAAACAGGCCTTTACAATGTTAGCTATAAACAACATGTTATATAATGTCTCTTTTGAAGATTACACATGCATGTATTTGGATACATGGTCAACGTTAACTGTTAGCACCACCTAGCTTGCATTACTCAGCCGTTTAGCGTGGGAGCTAGCTATTGCTAATGATACAGCTGTATGGCGACAAACGACTCGTCACGTTACAAGAAAATCTAAATCAAGCGAACTTGCTCCGGTTCGGGGTGCTTGGGGCTTGGCGCATTTTTTTGCGGCTCATGAAAGGTACAGTAGCAGCTGCCACACAGGGGTGGCTACTAGCTAGCTGCATGCATCGGCTAGCTAACATTCGGCAGCTGCTGTCACGTTCAACTATCCAAACGACTCACGGTTGGCGATCTCGGCTCCCATCTTATACTTGGTCACCACCAAGTCATCGGCGACCGTCTGCTCGGGTTTTTCTTCATCCCCAGACATGTTGGCAGGATGCCCAAGAAGTCAGAGCAACTTTTTGCTACCCAAACAATCCTCCCGGCAAGCGTCAACGAGTAGCACGATGGCCCAAGCACGCTGAGAAGCCAAGACAACGAGATCCCTCCCACCCCTTCCCAAAGAGGCGTTCTACTCAGGCCAAGATAGTGAAAGTCATTACGCTGATGTTTAGTTTCCATACACTCAACGATCATCCCGCCGCGAGCTTCATGTTTCACGTTGGAGAGCATCTTCCTCTAAATACAGTCGTATCCATCAACCTGGACTTTTTTGAAGATAGATGTGTTGTACACACTGGTTCCCAAGTAGCAGTGGCGGACCCTGAGGGCCAGCAGACCTTGCTGGCCTAAACATTCTCAGAAAAATAAATTTACTTTAATGTATTTTATGTTATTTTATAATTTATGTTATTTTATTTTCATAAATATGTAAACAAAATTATTCTCTGTATTCTTTACGTTGTATTATTTCCACTTAGTTGAGTGGCTTTCAATGTTATTTTAAATAACATTGAAAGCCACTCGATAAATAAGTTATTTATTATGGTAGAGTTTTTAACCAATCATATTTCAGCTAGCTTGCGTTGCCAGGTAAATATAACTTGCTCGGGGCCTTCAGATTAAACAGAGCAGGCCCCTGTGCACTATAAGTGAACGGGCACAGTCAGGTTTCAATAGCCAATCAGATCACGAGTCTCAGACTCGTGATCCGTATCCTGTATCCTGACTTGTTCTCGTCTGCGTACTAGGGCTAGCGAGAAGGTCTTACGTCGAGACTGG